AAATAAAAAGTTTCCTAGGGTATGCAACAAAATAAATTCGGTGTAGATCTCATCCTTCATGGAGATGCGTTCACATCATCATTTAATAAGTTAAGTTGGGAGCAGATGGGCTTTGATCTCATAAGGAAGTCAGCACTTTTTTATTTTCCTGTTGTAGGTGTCTGCACCAGAGCAGGACCTTCTCCAGCCAGTCCCCTCATCATGAAAATACCCCCCTCAGATATTAATGACCGCCCTTGTGGAGGCGACCACCTCAGCACAAACCCCTCCTGGGACGTTGCCACGCTTTCCAAAGCCTTGGCCCTGATGACACCACTCTGGCATCCTGGTGCATTCAGGAACTCCCCAAATAACTAATACCAGCCGCTTAGTCAACTAAAACACCCATGTAGCAATTTGACACAATGACCTCTAAATAATTATTAGTGGGAAGATGTATTGCTGTTGATAAAATATTTCCTTTATCGTACAGGTGAAAGGTCCAAATGCCAGATGTTCACTCGCAGCATGAGGAAAAATATGCAAGAAGCGTCTTATCCTCTGGATCACAACAAAGGAAACGGCAGCAGTGTTTCAAAGTGAGTCCGTATTGGATACACTTCCCAGAGCATGGAGCGGATGAGAGAGGGGACAACATCTTGTATCATCTATCTTCCTTAAATGCTGAAGCCGTGACAAAGTGGATGGAGAAATTATGATAAATGATAAAACACATTTAGTCAATAGCTGTTTTTTACAGCATCCTCATGTTTTTTTCTTCTTCTAATTGTTTAGACAACAAAAGACTTGCATGCATTTCATTTGCACTTTGAAGACCAGACTGTCCTTAAATTGAAATGGACAGTGTAAATGTTAATATCAATATCTTCATTTAGGGGAGAGCTTGTGAAGGTGCTTGGTATATGAATGTATATCTTATTTAAACTGTAGAAGGACTGAGTGGTCGGGGTTCCTGCTCCCTGCGGAAGAGCCAACACCTTCAAAGCCTAGAATATGTCACAAAACCATGAGTGTGAACTCTAAATACCTCAGCACCTCTGAGACATAGCACCATGTCATTAAACAAACAAATGTTTGGTACAGATTGGTAATTATTCAAATAAATGCTTAAATCTGAACTTAAAACTTTTATTTGGGATTTTGTTGTGCTGATTTTGTGTTTTGTAGTTTTTCTTCAGGTAAAAAACAAACAAGTGGACATTGTAACAGCATCAGGAGAATTCTGCTTTACTCATAGTGTGTGCAGTTCTATGTCATTAGTGTATTATATACCCAACAATGATAGGTATTGTGGAATACAAAATCAGCCTTTACTGTTATGAACACGAACTACTGTCTGACAAACAGGAAATCTAAGAAAATACATGAAAAGAAAGATTCACATTATGAAGGTAAAATCATGGCAAACGAACGGAACAGCCTGTATTTGATATAGCACCTTCAGGGTTCTACATTCCCCACGGTGCTTTACAACACAACCAGTCATTCACATTCACACACTGGTGATGAGCTACAGTGTAGCCGCAGCTGCCCTGAGGTGCGCTGACAGAGGAGAGGCTGCTGAACACTGGCGCCACCGGTGCCTCCGACCACCATCAGCAAATCAACACATGTCCAAGACACGACTTCATATGTAAACCAAAAAGATGACAACATCCAGATCACTTTTGTGAATTTTAGTGCAACATTCACACACTGATAAGAAAAAGCCGGTGGTTTGTGGACTCATTCACAAAGGATAGCAGGAACCACAGGTGTGTGTGAGCTGATGATCCTATGGTCAGTGGCTCTGTTAGAGCACACAAGCAATAGCTAACAGGAAATAATAGAGGGAACTGATGATTAAGCAAGTCCATTGTGATTAATTTTCCATTTACTGTCCACACTAATAAAAAATCTATACAGATCATTATTATTGCATTCTTTAGGGATCAGCCAGTCAAGCAATTAAAGAGATCATCTGGATCTATGAAGTCTGTGAAAAGATTCTCAGTTCGCCTGATGAGTTAGCTCTTTAACTGACTTGTGTAAATATATCAATTATAAGTATGGCTTGCATAAACTGTGTTGTAAATGTTGGGACTGGACTCGCTCAGGGAGATTTTGCAAGAGGCCCCATGGTGACACCACTCATAATAATAAAATGAGCCCCTTTTTCTATGTGGCGTTCAACTTTCTGCTGTGGAGAGTCCTCTATTGCCTCCCTCACTCAGGAGTTCATGTCTTAGTGACCAGTGATTCAGCAGCGCTGTGTAGCCTGTGGGCAAGAGGAGGTAATCCACTAAGTGAGATGTGTGTCAGTGTGAGCGGCCCTGGAGACGAAGAGCCTGACAGTAAGATGAGTGAAAAGCAACATGCAACACAACACCAACACCTACTCACTGTACAAAAAGCCTAAAGACGCCTCATAAAGCGTAACGTCTTGTTTCGTTGCACCAACGTTCACACAGCTGATGCCGCTAGAATCCAAAAATAATTTCAATGAGTTAAACAACCAGAGAAACGTCTAATTATGTGCTGAAGGATGACTGAGATGGGCTTAACGGTGACGAGGTGAGATGCCTGTTACAAACTGTTTCTCAGATGCCTTCAGTCACAGCCGCGGGATTCAGTCAGCAACAAGTAGCTGACGGGATCCAGTGGAGCCTGAAATCTGTGTGAGATTGAGAGAATCTGCAGCTCGAGGACAGGGATGAGCGAGAAGTACAGGAGGATGATGATACAGGCCAAAAACTGTTTGCAGACTGGATATTGAACACCATCGTTGAGGTTACTATTTATCTCATGCCAGCCAAGTTGGCACGCACATCTGGCGCTGGGTACTTAGTGCAATTATTTATGATTTCCTCCAAGATTTAAAAGCTCTTCGCCCGGCCTTGTAATGCAGTAACTGATTGCACTGCTAATGTAATTAAGGGGAGATTATGATGTCCACGTGGCACACCAGATGGTGGCATTCACAGCAATGGGGGAAGGCACAACTGGCACACCACTGCACAAGGGCAGTGAGGTGCAGTCAGTCGGAGCAGTCCAGACTCCCCACCAGACGGAGGAAGGTATATGCATACATGTGTGTGTGTGTGTGTGTGTGGTCCGCTTACACAGATGCGAGCAGATCTATGTGTGTATATTTGATGGTAATTTGAGCGAGAAAGAGTGAGCTGATATAAATGAGCAAATGTAAAATAGTCCCAAAGAAAATAACTTACAGTAGGTCTAGCTCTACGTGAGCACGCTCAGAGATGCACCACGCATAAATACAGAGTTTCATCTCAGACGGTCCCTGTGTGAAATCTTATGAAAAATCTCTCTTTTTAAAATTGGATGATTCATTTTCAACGGCAAATGTACTGAATTAGTTAAAGAATCTGACAGTTCATACATTTTAGACTTGTGAGATTCAGCACCTTAATCAAGAAAACAGATGGCATAAATGGAAAATTAAATCACATTTGGAAAATGTTTCAGGGGATTTTTTTTTCCTTCCAGTCGAGGCGACAATGAGACTCAACCAAACTGACCTTTAATTAGAAAGAAGCATGACATTATGGAGCCTTGTGAGGCTGTATCCTATGGGGGCACACTGAGGGCTGGTTGGCTTCTAAAAGCTTGTTATTATAAGCTATTCAGGAGACACGGGATTTCTTTTTCTCTGTGTAGACAGAAAAAAGTGAGGGGGAGGAGGGGGTGGAAGGGCTGTGTATGAAATGAGACCTGCAGAATTCTACATGGCCCATAATAGGTTCATGTGGGTGACACTGGGTCACTAGATTTCCCAAGTTGAGATAGGGATATTATTACTCTTGGGGTGGCAACACAGAAATTTCCATCTTCAGTTCCTAGTATCAGCAAATTACAGTCTGCAGTAAATGACCTTTAGACAGAAAAATAAACCCCCTGGTGTTCTTTTTCCATCATTCACAAAGGCATCATTTACAGTCAAGGGGCTCGTCTGTCTTTAACCGATTACGGCTCATGACGGAAGCATTTTTAAGCTGTAGTAAGAGCTGTCAGCACACCAAAAGAAGAGTCTGTGAGGTCAAGACTAAATGGCATGCATTTAAAGTTAAACAAAAGGTGAAAGCAGGAATCACAGCTTTAATGAATCTTTTCAAAATACCAGCTGCAACGCGTGCACATCCCACAGCAGCTGCTCCTCAGCAGAAATCTTTCATTCATCTTAGCCACAACCTTCCTCAGGCGAGGCATTAAAACAGTGTAAAAGCTGATGATTTTCACAGTTAGTGTGTGTGTTGCTGATATCCAAACTTCCAATGAGCAGTTTCATCACATTCCATAATTAGAGCACTGCTTGGCAGGTGCACCTCTTCTCAGTGTGTGTGTGTGTGTGTGTGTGTGTGTGTGTGTGTGTGTGTGTGTGTGTGTGTGTGTGTGTTATCTTTTTTTTCAGTAATGCCAGAAATTCAAAATTAGCACGCCTGTTTCTGTGTGTCATCAACACTTTGATAGGACAGCATGTGTTGGTAGAGTGGTGTGTGTATGTGTGTGTGTGTGTGTGTGTGTGTGTGTGTGTGTGTGTGTGTGTGTGTGTGTGTGTGTGTGTGTGTGTGTGTGCGTGTGTGTGTGTGTGTGTGTGTGTGTGTGTGTGTGTGTGTGTGTGTGTGTGTGTGTGTGTGTGTGTGTGTGTGTGTGTGTGTGTGTGTGTGTGTGTGTGGTGATGATGTGGGGTGTTACAACATGATGAAGTGAGATGATTGTGACAGGAAATCTTCCTGCAGCAGGTAGTTTTCTCTGCTAGAATCACCAACACCAGAAGAAGGTAGCAACAGTGCTAAATGAACTGAGCTGTTTAGAAGAAGGAGGATGTCTTTATTAATCACTTCCTGTCAGCTTCTCTTTTATAGACTAAAAAATAAACTCAAAATATGACCACGTTTTATTTTTGTTTTATCACAATCACAGAAAAGTACAAGAAATGGATGGACACATTATATTATTAATATTATTATTTGGGTTAGGGTTGGACAAAGACAAACACACGTGCAGTCTACATCGTGGTATTTACGTATGATTGGACTTTGGTTAATGATTATCCACCTGCGACAAAACAGACGTGTCCTCTGACTAAAGGGCAACGTTGGATTTTCTTGAAGAAACGAAGCAAGGCAGGTGTGCCCCTGTAAGTAAGCTAAACAATTCTACTTTTAAACAAAAGTGGGTTTTCATGTTTAGGGGAGTAAATGCCTGTTTACTCGTTCCTACCAGGATTCAAAATCTGTTTATTTGCATTTTACGTCATTCAAACTACACAAAGTCACGCTAGTAAAGTGTTTACCTTGTGTGCATCTATCTACATGGGTAAAAGTTTGTTAAACTGAATGACTGAGAGTAATATTTCCTTTATAGTAGCTGCTTTATGCTTTTTTAAAATGTAGTAAGCCAGTTAGACTGTTTAAAAGTATTGATGCGTCTATATTAGTTTCAACATTATCTGCTTGATCTAAGTTCACTGCAGACGTTGTTCCCTAATATACTAATCAACCATTATTGTCTTTTACTTAGGAGATTCAGATCTGAATAAATATTTGAAGTCCTTGAACTCAACGTTTTGAGTATATTTCATTATGTTGGCTAAATTGCCATTCGGTTTCATTTGAATAAGTACAGCTCTGTAACATTTGTTAACCAGAGGGCTGATTCTAGAGTAGATCCTCTAATTGGATCAGCCTAATTGCAATAGATTTTGTAAATATAAAGATTGAATGCAGCAACTTTGTCACTTAGTACAAGAATGCTTTAAAGTTAATCTAATAAAGCTGCACAAGGGAACCTTTGCCAAGCCATTTAGTCAGTAAAAGGCTGGCATATCCATTAGGTCAAAATTCCCTTAGACAGGAATAGATAGCAATTGATTGGAACTTCCTTGAAAATATGTGATCACTCCCCCTAATCTGTGATTTGGTGAAGTCACTGGGTGCTCTCCACATGCTGTTTGGTCTCTGGCCTCACTTGTCATTTTGTTCTGGATTAGGCAGACACTTTTTCTTTTAGAGGCTAACAAGCTTCATCGAGAAGTCAATACTGCACCCATTTAAGGCAAGAAACGCCCTGTGCATTCTTCAAGTCCAGACCAGTTTATTTCACTTTTTGTGCATTTATGTTTTTACAGTTCTAAATAATGAATGTTGCAACTTAAACAATGTGAAAGACACTCTTTGAAAAGAAAACACTTTATCTAACGAGAGCTCGGACTCAAACAGGTTGATTATGGCTGCCTGCACATGTTCTTCAGTGAAATGATGGAATTCTGATCACGTTTGTCTTCTTTTTGACAGATTTCCAACATGTCTGACGCAGTTAAGCAGCTGCCTACAGACCCCATCTCTGTAGTCGGTGTGGTCACTTCAATCAGCAAAATTCCAGATGGCTACTATGTAGTGAGTCCTTAGCTGTTTTTAAACATCTGCATTGGAGCTGAAACAGGTTTAGTTTGATTGTTACTGTATTCAAATGGAACTGCATGTGTTATAAACACTAAACCCTCATGTAAAGGCAGCAGAGCCATCAGGCAAAATATTTGCTTGCTTGCGGACAGTTGAATGTGCGGAGAAGTCAATGAACAGGGAAAAGTGAATGTTTCTGTGTGTAGAAAAGCTGTTGTCATTAGATTAGAACAGCTAAAAGATGATTTTTCTTTATCCGAGTTTTTTTTTCTGTCGATATGTCACATTTGTAGAATGGATGAACCGGGTTGTTGTTACTATTATTGCTTACACTCAGTAGAACCTTATGTCTATAGAGCTACTTCAGTTCTTCATGGTTTTGATTCAACAAGATGTTGGAAACTTTTCATCAGTATTGACATGATGGTGTCCCAAAGGTGATGGATTTGTCTGAGATCTGGTGGCTGCAGAGGCCGATGGAGTCTGTGTACTCATTGCTGTGTTCACTAAACCTTTTCTTGTGCTGCTTTGAGGTTCAAAATTCAGAAATTGTATTCTGCAGATAATGACCAGTTATTTGAGCTATTATTGTCTTTCTATCATCTAGAACTACTCCGCCCATTCTCCTCTGACCTCAACAAGACATTATGATCCAGAGAACTGCTGCTCGCTTGAAATGTTCTCTTCTTCAGACCCATCATGACATTAGGGATGGTTATGGGAGAAAAATTCAGTTATGTCAGCAGGTTCTGAAAGACCCAAGCCAGCCTGTCTAGTACCAACAGCAATGTCATGTCTTTCTTCTCCATTCTGATGCAACAACAAGTTGTCTTCAACATATCCAGATGCCCTAAAACTTGAACTTCTGCCATCTGATAGATGTTTGGGTTAACAACCAATTGTATAGGTGCACCTAAAAAGGCAGGTGAGGTGAGTGTTAATTTATTAAAATATGTTTACATATTAAAACATCTTTAAAACAGCCTTTTAAAGTTGCAACATTACAGTGAGGTTTTATATATATATATATATATATATATATATATATATATATATATATATATATATATATATTTAGCCCAGTTTAGATTCTTAAATATTTGGCTGATATTCACAGCAGGAGAGTTTGAGACCAGTGTTGGTCCTACAGTGGGTGGGTGTGTAGTAACTTAGCAAACACTACAGACTAAAATCAACTGCTTTCACTCATGGGCACTCACCACTCAGAAGGGAAATCTTGTGAGTTAAAATGTGACTTCAAAGTACACAACCATGGCTGAGAAAAAATTTCACCCTGCTTTCCGATTGGCTACACGTCACGTTCAACAGGCAGAAGATTTGTTTGTCGCCGAATGAACAACCAACATAATCCAACATGTTTCAAAGCCCAGATTTATTATAGAAGCTGCCCGTGACTTCCTTCCTCAACTAAGAGTGCTCTTAACGCACCACAAAAGGTGAGATTATCTGATAAGATTATCTTTAGAGCCATTATGATAAGGGTGTGCAGCCTGGCCTGCTAGACTTGTCCTCTGTTTAGTTCTATACAGAGAACTTGTCTGGTTACTCAGAGGCAGAGAGGCACATGAGGGGCGGGTTCAACCAGCTCAAAAACAACCAATCGGTAAAATAGCGGAAATGCTAACTGTAGTTTTTTTTAGTTGTAGTCAAAAGTGGCGTCTGGCGACTGCGCAAACATCTTTCTTTAGAAGAAAGACTTTTAGTGATTCATCTTGTTGTGGTTTTAAAAATACGTCCAAGTCACTCCGAACAGAGGAAAGAGCCACCGCGAACTCCACTTCAGACGCCGTCTTCGTTGTTTATGAGAAACTGAGCATTGCGGTGTGTGATGTACGCTGCTCAGCACTGATTGGTTTGGTTAGAATTCTCATGGAGTGGGGTTATTTGAATGGGATAGTTCCCAGACCCAATGCTTCCCATAAGGAAGCATGGGGCTGGCTGGCCAGGCTAAATCATGTGCATCCTTAAAGCTACAATCCAGAGTATGTTTTATTTGATGGCACTATCTAGTGGATGAAAAATTTATCACACTTAAAGCTGTGCCCATCACTTTCGTATTTACGACCGAAAGCAACGCCCTCTCGTTCATGACTGTGCTCCTCTAGCTGGCAAGCAGAGCCAAAACATATTGTTTTAATATTATTATTCTCAAGTTGTGTTAATTATTCATATCTTACTTTTCCTCAAGAAAGTTTGCCAACTCTGCATTAGTCTAGGTACTCCCAAAAATGCTTGCACTCTCTGATTGACTGCTGTATGTGAGCGGATGTCTAACTCTATTGGTGAATGCTGCACAGCATTCAGTTCAAATTACATGGGGCTCTAAGGGACAGGGGACGGGCTTAGCAAAATGACATACTGCCTACATTATATTACGGTACAGGGTATGAGTCTAACTTTTATGGATTTCTAAAAAAAGCGTCTATAAATCCTGAAACTCTTGATTGTAGCTTCAAGATCTGGAAAGAGCAGGTCAGAAATCAGCATGATCATCCCTCCGTGTGAACTGAACTTTACAGGGATGCACAAAATATTAAAGAGTTGACTTACTATCAGTATTGCTAAGGATCGTATTTGTATTTAATTCATATTTGTAACATTGTGTAGCTCGACTACACAGTGCTTTACAATAAGAATAAAACACTAAACGACAAAGGATGAAAAGATCATCTGACAAAACTCTTCTTAAGAAGTTTTTGCAAGTTGCCAAGCAACCAAAGAGTTCAGGGAGACTGATGGTTGCAAGCAAAAGGGCTGCATCAGTCACAGTAATTAATTACTGAAGTGTAAACTATGCTTTTATTTTGTCACGGTCTGGGTTTTTTCCTCCTGCCATTTGCTATGTGGTTTTGAGTCTCCTTCTCCAGGTGGGCATGACTGGAGGTGGCCACGCTGCAGATCATCAGCTCATCAGCCGGCCAGGGAGTATTTAAGCAGCTGAGAGACGCCATCACTTCGCTGGATGATTAATCTACCTGGACAAACCCTCCACTCCCATCTCTGACTGGCAGAATTCTGGAGAACTTCTACACCCTCTCGTCTCTCAGTCCCTCCCTGGCCAATTCCACCTCCAGTTGCCCACTGATACTCACCTGGATTTGCACCATCTTCACGCTCAGCTCCCTCCACCTCCAACTCTGGATCCCTGCTCCTAGAAAGCTTCATCGACCCAGATCGGACCAACTTCCCCCCTCAAGCCATTTCCTCTCTCAGACTGTATGTTCTCAAAAGATCACTAAAATCCCCTGTTGCCCTTTTCGAGCTGGATCTACCCTCCATCTGTCTAACAGATTCCCGCACCCGACCCCTGTTGAAGATCTCAGCCACCTTTCAGCTGCTCCCTTGGTTTCTCCATTAATAAATTATAGTTTAAAACTTTCACCGTAGTCAGCGAACTGATTCTGTATGTCGTAGGTTAGACACTTACCTCACAACATGACATATTTTCTGCTGCAAATTTCTACAGTTCATATTAAATTGGACCTCAGTCGCCCTAATGAACTGGCATCATCTGCAGAACCGCTCCCGTTTATTTCTGCATTTATGATTTGCATTGTTTTATATCTAGTTTTAGTAATTTAGGTGAAAAGTTTAAAAATAAGTCCTGTATTGTTTATATCATTTCAACAAAAGGAAAGGTTTGAGAGAGTTGTGTTCTTTGTTCCTTGGTGTTGGTGGCTCATGTGATGGTTGAGAGCAGTTTCACTGTGAAACACCCAATCAGGATGTTGGCAGCCTTCCATGATGTTCGTTTTTTATTCTTAGAGCTGTTAGATGACTTATTTATGCTGTGTACTGTGATAGGTTGGAGGATTCCCTTTATTGTTTGCCACAAGTTTAGTTGACACACCAGAGGCAAGGGTTTAATGATGTTTGGCTGATGATTGTTTCATTTAACTTTGTCCCTTTTAGTTGAACTCTTCACTATTAACACGACTGAGCTGGGATGTAAAGTGCGTGGGGTTGGTTCTGTTGATGAGAACCTTTAGTTACCGCAAGTGAGCTGAAGAGGGTTTAAAAAGGATAGCATAAGTTAAACAAAGCCCCAAATGAGCTCAGGGGCAGATTTCCTTCTTCCTCCTTCTCTCTCTTCCTATTCGTTCCACTTTTGTTTGCACCGTATGCCCCCAGACCCTCCCTCCTCTTCCAGTTCCTGTCTCTTCCTGCTCCACCCTACACACCCAGCTTCAACATCTCTGGCAGATGATGGTGGAAGGAATCACGATGGAGCCACAGGCAGGAAAACTTTGTGCAGATCAGACAATGGCGGCACCCCCCCCCCCCCCCCTACTCCCACCCCTCCACCCCCCCGCCGCCCGAATTACATTACAATATTACTGATTTTAAAATGTAAGGCATTACACTGCTTTTGCCTTACTTTAAGTTACTTTCACCAATACATCTTCAATTTGAATCTGGTAATCTGATGCTCAGTGAGCTCATGACATATATGTGGAAGGTGATGTGGTGTCTGAGCTAGGATTGCTGTTAAAAGCAGTCAGATATAATAACAGTACTTTCAAATAGTTGTTTATTAAATAAAAGCAACAACAATCTGTACTCTCAGCACGCTGCCATCTTATATTAACTGATCAGGGAGTGAGGTAGTGGGGACTCCAAGCCTATATTTGCATTGGTCCCCAAATGCCTTGATACGGCCCTGGACATGGGACTGACTTCTGGGGTGATCTGATTCTATCACATGTATACATATTAAATGCTTATATATTAATGCTTTTCACTGGTAAAAATGAGTATTGGGGATAAATCTACCTACTTTTTGTCTTTTCAAACAGTTTTGTTTTTTTGGTTTTATGTGAATAACTTCCTGCCCTTTCTCTCTCTAACCTTCCTGCATGCTGCATGTTTTCTCCGTCTTCCAGAAAAACTGTTTCCTAGATTTCCTACTTTCTAACTAATCAGCCAAAGGGATCTATCGAACTAGCAGCAATGACTTGAAATCACCGGGGCACAGATTATGAACTCACCTGAAAAGTACATGAAGTACCAGAGAATATGAGCTGATATAAACGATCGCAAACGAATTATTTTGTTTTGGTGGAGCGATTTTGTGAATATAACAGCGGTCGTGCGCAGGACGCAGCTGGAGTATTTGAGCCATTACCGCTGCATCCTCTCTGTTCATAGAATGCCCGCAAAGCGGAGTCCATAAATGACGTAATATCTTTTTTTCAGGCTTCCCGCAATTTGAGTTTTTGGAAACCCACATCTTGATTCTGGGTTTAAAAATGCATTGTAATTCCCGCGTTACTAACAATTGTATCGAGTAAATATTACCATTTTCTTTCCCTGTAATGTCTTACATTACCACATTACAGCAAAAAGCAATGCATTACAGAAGTTAATTACTTTTGTACCGTGTTACTCCCAACACTGCCGCCCATACACACACTACTTCACCCTCTGCTTCCCCAGAGTACGTACGCATTTCAGCTGATGTGCAAATATTGTCTGCTGGAGGATGAGATGCTAACTGTTTTAAATTTGTAAGTAAAAGTCAAAGCTGAGTTTAGACAAAGGGAAAAATCCAGTCAATATAACACCATGTGAGTATATAATCTCCCAACATGCTCTTTAACCTACAGTAATCACAAGCATTTCATTTTAGTAGCTGAAGCCGCTTTAAGGGGTATAGGTGGCCGATCACATCACTCTTTCAGTCATGCTAAGTTGTATATTGTTTCATTTTTCCATTTATGCTGAAAAAGCTTGAATTTCCTCCCTGATCCTGCTGCTCACCAGATTTCCCACACTTTTTTACATCGCAGATCAAAGGGCAGATTACCTCTTTTGCTCTCTGATGGGTTGCACTTACTTGAACTTGAGCAGCTTGTTTCAACACAAGAGTACGGGCTCAGATCAAACACAGTTCCTGAGGGATCCAGGGCTTTTCGTTGAAGCTCCAGCAGCCACCCAACATCAAACAGCAAAGGCAGACTCTCTCTCACTCTTGCTCGGTTCAAGGGTTATGTTGGTGGTGAGCCAGCGTGCTGCTTCCTCTCGTTTACATCTGTATCAAAGTGACACCTTGATCAAACACTTAGCCTAACACTTTTAATGCACGTTGACAAGAATTACACGCACCCAAACCGGTAAGCAAACAATTCTCAATACTTGGTGATTATTTTGACTTCAGAGCTCTGTAAGTGCAGCTTTAGTCCCCACAAAGCTATCCACAGGAGAAGGCTGTTACAAAATAAAATATTTTTTTATTAACGCTTGTCTGTGGGTGTATGCAGTTATGACACATTTTGAAATTGACACATCAAGTATTTTTCTACGAAATCTGTAGGAATATACTAGCCTGGCAAGCCATCCTATATGTGTGAATAACAGCTGTGATTGGCCCAATAGAGAGCTGTGACTGGACTGCGACAGAGCTGTTGCCATCTTAGATTTGCTCAGTTGCAATAACTTCCTGCCAACCTGACTGTGATTGGCCCACCAAACCAACAAAGTGCTGTGATTGGTCCACCAAACCACTAAAGTGTTGGTTGGCCCACCAAATCAACAGAGTGCTGTGATTGGTCCACCAAACCACTAAAGTGTTGGTTGGCCCACCAAATCAACAGAGTGCTGTGATTGGACTGCTATGGGTCCATTGCCATCTTAGTTTAGCTCAGTCACACTATATCCCGCCCACTGGACCGATTGAGTGCTGTGATTGGACCGCTATGGGGCAGTCCACCATATGTCATGGAAGAAGCAGGGAATAAGACAAAAATATGTTGCTTGTCTAAATAAACATGCTGTGATTAGCCAACCACAATAGTGGCCAGGGCTGCAGATGTTCCAGTGGTGCCCGATAGAAATGATTTGTCTCCAGCAAATGACGGTCTAGATTCCACACTAGGATTATACTGCAAAAACAGTTTTTTTATAGTTCAAATGTATCAGAGCCATTAAAGAATGATGGAGGTATCATTTTTACAAGGCTTTGATGTGAGATGTCTGTATTTTACATTTAGTTTTGATTGTTGGCCTCTGCTGTACCTGGTGAGGTCACCGTAATGCAAAAAATGTAAAATACTTTGAATCAATCATTTCAGTGGAAACCCTTGCTCCTATTTCAGTCCAAGGGTAAGAATTGAAACTTTTATTTTTATTTTTTTTACTTGTCAAGTTCTACTTTAAAGGCACTGTTTGTTCCCCTCTTGTCGCATCCCTTCTTCTACCTGGCTTCACTCTCCAGATATTTTTGATTGCACGCCCTTCTATCTTTGCATTCACAGCTGGGCCTTTTTTGTGCTTCACAGCACCTTGCTGGCACTGTCTGTCTCCAGAGATACTTCATACAATAGCAATATTAATCATCCCCTTAAGACATGTTTCGCAGGTGGGCTTTCAGATCACTGCGTGTGGCAGTGGAATCTGTCTTTGCATTTTAAATCAAATCAAATGACATATCTCGGTATCAGAGCTATGATGTCTCTTATCACACATGTGACACTTTTCTTATTGAAGTCTGTTTAATGATCAAGCCGTACAAGAGCAAACTCAAACGTGTCAGAGAAGAGTCAGCGGAACTTTATTCCTGCTTTTGTGTGTGTGTGTGTGTGTGTGTGTGTGTGTGTGTGTGTGTGTGTGTGTGTGTGTGTGTGTGTGTGTGTGTGTGTGTGTGTGTGTGTGTGTGTGTGTGTTGCGGCTCAGCAGTTGGTGTTTCACATTCAAGCTGCGTCGCCTCCCTGCTGCCGACGGCTGTGGCAGGATGAAGCCTGAGGTGCCTCCTTGGAGGACTGTGCCCTCGTTACTCCTCAGCTTGACTTTGGGTTTCACAAAGCGAGCCCTTTGTTTACGCTGACAGGATGTGCTGGCTACTGACCTGGAAAAAGTGGCCAAGACGGGTTGTCTTGTAAGGAAGAGGGAGACTGGTGATGTATAGTCTCCTTCTGGGACCTTTCATGGAACTGCTGTTGGAGACACCCTACAATCCGTCTCCCTGCTCGTCTTCTCCTTATTCTCTTTCCTCTCATCCAGCTATCTGTCTCTGTTCCCTACGCTAGCCTGCGCTCTCATCCCATCTAGTCAGTGGTGGTTTTGCATGAATCTCCCCTTGCCATGTTTCCCCTACCTAGTCATTGGGGTCATTCATCATTATTGTCAAGGGGGTAATGTGTGTGGGTGGGTGCAGAGATCTATGACTTCTTCATTTGAATGAACCTCATTAGATTGACTCTTCTTTGTAAAGCATCCCTTTAGAAAACACCTCTGGCAGTTATTTAGGTGACTCTCACATGATAGCCAATGGAACATGACGTTTCAGCCAAGCATGCTCGCTGGAACGATTGAAGAGTCTCTGTGATGCACTCTGCAGCTTATATTTAGCTTTATCATTCTGCCTTACATTTACATAGAAACGTTGTCTAGAACCTCGAGGTTAACTTATGGTAAACAAATGCCGTCAATGAAATTCACCTTACTGATTTATGCTGACTCTTCATTTATGGCAGTAAATGGGTTTCGTGCTGTGGTCTTCACTTTCAAGGCTTCGGATTTAGCATAGCTTTAATTTCCTTTCATTTGTTTTTCAAAGATTTGCTTCTTTAAATAATACAAACAAAACTAATGAGGGTGCATGAGCAAGATTCTCGGTTTACCTGCTCATTATAACCACGGCAGATTTTCCTAAATAAAGACACATTCAACATTTATTCACCCTAAACGCGATCCCAGCTTTCCCACTGAAGTGAACCGAAGTTTGGTTTCCTTATTAAAGCAGATTCTTGTCAGAGCATCTTTAATTAGCCTGGTCCCAAGGGATGATATTTTTAGCCACCTTTTTGGAGGCTAAGACTTTACCCACGCAGAGCACTAATGAGATGGAGCACGAGTGTAGGCAAGCGTTAATTAAGGCTAGTATGCAAAGGAAGAGGCAAAAGCAGCACGCCCATGGCATACATACATTAACTTCATCCTGCATGTTTTTCCCTTCGTCTTGTTTTATTTTTTTCTCTCTTCTTTTTTCTACATAGGTTGCACAAACAACAGATGGCTCTGAAGCCGACCTGTGGAAGGACGGCTTATTCAAATCCAAGGTCACTCGCTACCTCTGCTTCTCCAGGAAAGCTGTAAGCGTGTAAACTTCTCTCTTTCCAAATGCCTCATCTGCAGCACCTTCTCAGTGCGCTGGTGGATATTGGCTCACCTCACTGCTACCAGAATATCTTACTGCACTTTGCACTTTGATCAGTGGAAGTCTCGCTTAAAAAAACCCAGTGCAGGCAATGCAGTTTTGAAGTTTTACATATAATAGATTTGCATGCATATTCCAAAGGAATAATGCTACAGAGGGGTATTTTCTCTCTTTATGCCCTCCTGAAGATCATATTTATGTTTATTCATGAAATAACAATGAGCTGTATTTTAACCATTCCAATTTATTCAATCAACACCATCCCTGTGGAGAAAATTACCAACCAGTGATTCTTGAAAGATGATGCACGTATAAGTTTTAAATATGAATATTCTTTTTTGTGGCAGAAATTGCTCCACAAAAACAATTTCAGTGTGGTTTGGCCACAAATATATAGAATTCCCAATATGAGCCGCCATGACTCCTGTGTGTCTAAAATGATCTTTGCATTACATTTCTCATAAAGCGGTTGGGTCATTTTTGTCTCTTCGCCTGTCTGCAGCCTGCGGTTGATGTGTTTCTGCCTGGCTGTCAGCTTCTCCGAGGCCATAAATACACCTGCTTACATCTCCAGACGTATCAACCTGTCCAGCCTCAGCTCATACAGCTTACTATTGGCCGTCTATTAGTTAAGAATCTCTGGATTGCAGGTGAATGCAGACAGCATTGTAAACAAAAACAGATTTTTTTTTGTTATTACTTTGGATCAGCTCAATTTTAGGACTTAATCAAGTCATTTGTTTTTTTATTTTCAGGATATCCTCTAATAGCCAGGCAGCTTGGCTGCAGCTGCCTCCTGCCTGAGCACAATTTGGCCCCCAGTTTAGTAGATAGCATACAAATAGCCTCTCCCTAGTTCCTGTGTATTATCTTAAAATGTCTGTCCACGTTGTTTTAAAGACTTTGACACAAATAAAACATGACAGAACTATCAACAAAGGCTATTTTGTCTGCCAGTCAATGCTACTGCCACTGCAATTGTCCATGACAAAAAGAGATTCTGTAAAATTAGCTGAAGGAGGGGTGAATAGTTTGTGATTTATCATACTCTAGGTTGAAGGTGGATAGCCTCTTTTGTCAGGTCGTGATAGGAAAGAAATCTCTGCAGAAAAAGGTGAAAACAATAAAAAAAACCAAGGCTTCATGCATTGTAATAACATTCATCCATATTCCTCCTTATGTCAGAATAAAACTATGAATAAAAAATGTCTCTAATGGTGATGACAGTCAGGCAACAGTAGCGGTGTAATCCAGGCTTTTCGGACGCGTGGAGTCACGCCTGGCTCACCCCACTCCCCACTGCCGCTGTGTGTTATTGCAATTTATTATGGCAAAAAATGAAAATGTAATGGGAGCCAGGGAAGAGTCATGCTTGAAAATGTCAACTACACACTCCCTGATTATTTTTAACTAGTCCAATCCTGTTGATCAGACTGCCTCCTCTGTCTCCCATCATCGCACAGCTCATCGCCAAAAGGTTGAAAATGATTACAAGTTTGCTCGTCTCATTCGAGAGGGGAAAAAAGTGCTTTTTTACCGAGTAATTACTGGAGTTGTTTTGCCAGCCACTCTCCTTAGATTCATCCTGAGCTTTTAGTTTATCAGTGACCCTGTTATTATCTAGACTCCTCCCAAACCGAAGAGCTTTTACTGTCTCTCTGTTCTTGTAGAAGTTACATTTGCACACACGTTGTGTTTTTCACGGTTCTGCTGCATTTCTTGTGTTTTTGTTTCTAAGAGCCCTGAAGTTGTTGTGGATATGAAGGTGATGGACATCAAGGACCCGCTGCCAGAATTATTCACACCTGTGCAAGAAACCATAGACAAAAGTAAATAAAGAGTCGATACGATGCAGAGACCCACTCCCCTCCTCCCCGTGTCTTTTCCACTCTCCGGCCAGCTTCTGCGGAGGTCCTTAGGGGCAACTTTGCTTGAGATAGTAAATGTTTTATGGGTGCAGGTTAGCTTAATTTATGGCGGACTGTGAGTATAAAATAAACATTTTGCCCTGGAGGTGCAAGAGAAAGGAATCATGAGTCATTGTTTATCTCAGCTGGAGCTGGGCTTTTCTTTATGAGGGGCTTATTTATTTATGTATTTATTTGGGGAGAGGACCAGTAGATGGGGGTTATCTAATATTAATGAAATGCATTCCCCAATGCTTTAGTGCTTTTTGAGTGCTACGTACCCCCCACCCCTCACTATCCATGCCTTGGAAATGTAATAATATTTTGGTGTGGAGAGTGAGGACAGCTTGTTTATTATTTTTATTATCATTGCATTTACACAGCACTTCCTAGTGTTGCTGGGGAAATAAATGAGCACGGCGCAGATGCAATATAAGAAAGTATAGCAATGCTTTTTTCTATTTCTAGCTAGAATGAAGAAAAGAGATTATGTTTTGTTTGGCGCCGTTGTAATTTAATGTTTTATTACTTTACGTGAATCCATGTTTAATGTATACGCGTGACATTATGTATGAAATTCTATCCAGAATATCGAGTTTAAATCCCTCTTGTGCATTAAAGCTTATGGAGGATTCACTTGCGTCTGTCATTTTACCTACTAAAATGATAAAAATGATAATAACGTATGTGAGGTTTGTGGCTTCCCAGCGTCCGGTCAATTCCCTCTGAGCTCGGAACGTCACCCAGAAACATAGTTTGAGCTCATTTCTTATTCAAAGACGAGTAATGACTAAAAGGCAAAGCGTAAGTGGGGATTTGTAAATACGTATGTGTTTCTCTCAGGTATTGAATGTGTCTGTGTCTAGATTTTCTTCATCCGAATCTCGGAGGACACAGGACTGAATATGCACTAGTTCCTTTCTGACACGCTCTCGTGTACATGTGCTTTACCCATCAGAGGAAGCTGCCATGAGGAAGAAGAGGCTCTGTGTGAAAATGAGCCCTCGCGAGGCTGTCGTGACAGCTCTATGTGACATCCAGATCACTGCCAAGTCCAAGTACCACCTCGTTAACTACACCTGTGCAGGGTGAGCTGAGTGAGATCTGTACGTTTGGGTCTAACATTTAGCTCACTAAGGAGAAACGTTAACGTCCACACAGTGAGATAAACAACATGGGGATATGGTATCGGATGGGAGACGTTCCTCGGCATCAGACGTCTCTGCAGACCGAGGTTGTGCCTCAAACTGACACGGCACTCCTCACAGCAAGGTAACGCCACAAATCCTGCTCCAACTCGGAGCTTAACTTTTCCTGGGTTTTATTTCCTGCTCTGTGTTCTCCTGAGCCTTCGTTACACCTCTCCACCACATGTACGGAGATGAAGACACAGGCAATTGATCACTCCTGGGCGATTTGCCACCAAGGCTGTAGCTGGACAACGAGGCAGCGAGGGTGAAGTGGGGAGACAGGCTAACTAGACAGGGTGCCCTGAACACGCACGTGAGTTCAATGAGGGCTAAGCTCCTGCTATTTGTGGCGCGTCCCAGGAGGCGGAGGCAGGTTGCTCCTCCGACACAGTGACAGGAGTGTTGTACTGTGCAGACTCAGAGGAGGGGACGTGGCCTTGAGAGTTAGTGACAGCTGTAGAGGAAGGGAGGAGAGCCCTCTGAGCTCTCCGCCATGCTGGAACAAGTTCATCTCCTCCTCAGCTCACGCCGCTGCAGCTTCCTCCACCTCAGAGCCAACAGAGCAGACCTTTGTTCTGTGTCCAGATCAAACAGCTCAATTATTCATTTCAGCAAAGAGCTGGGGATTTCCACAGCAAATTGTAAATAAACAATTGAGACTCCTTCGGTGGGGTGTTATTCTGCAGAGGGAGGCTTGGCACAGGGCTCGAGGTGTTTGCCAACTTGAAGCAAGAGCTTTCAGTCATCCTGTGCTGTGCCAAGGTGAAGCACATAAAGCAGCACCAGGCCAGAGCGGCGGGTGCCAGGAGGAACATTCAAGACCAAGCTTTTGTCCACATGGTCATGCTGCAGGACAGAGAACAACTGTGGGTTTGACTGGATATCCAAACGGTTTTGTGAATCGGCCACATTCTGGTAGCTGATGGTCAATTTTCTTTGATGTGTTCAGGGTATGGTGAGAGCTCAGACCATCGCACGTCTTCACGAGTCTTTGCGGTAATCCTCTACTCTTTTGAAGCCCACTTTTAAGTTTGCGAGTCTCAGAGGTTGGAATAAATTGCACCTCGAAGCGACTCCGACCCCCCTCCCGATGCCTGCTGAGATCACAGGCTGCCGTTTTTGTATTAGCATTAAAATTCATTCCACAGTCAGAAAGTCTTCTTTTGAGGGTTTTTTTTTTCCATGCGTGCAGCGCTGACACATAAGGACGGGACCATGGGCAATTTATACCGTAGAGCTCTTTGACTGTTTATCTCTGTGTAGTAACAAACACTTCAGACAGCTGAACGCATAAACACTTCTGTAGTTTCTTTTAAAGATTGTTTGACGTGGTGATTTCTGAGCAGCCCTCAGATTCCTGAAGAGCAGCAGGGTTGTGTAACCGACTTGCTTCACACCACTGTACTTTTATTCATGTGCAGCAGGAGAGTAGTCTCCCCTCCACGCCTCCTTCAGGCTATCTATTACAACTTTATGGCCTTTGGAGAGTAGCACCTCTTAAATTTAAGTGCTCTTTACAGTCACTGGAAAATATGTTTTAAATACAGTCAATAATGTGTAAATTTTTAATGACCCTTATAATTTTGAAAGCACAGCGATCCTCCTCCCTCAAATCTCAAGTTGCCTCAGGCAGAGAGAGCCTGTTAGTGTTGTGTACAAACGTGAACCGCAAATCAGGATTTCAGCAGCACAGAGACGCTGAGGAGTGTTGCATCATTATGGGATGCACAAGGTTATTGCATCAAGGCAAATGTGTTTCACTCCGGTTGTTTTGTATTGTTTAGAAAGTTGCAAAAAGGTTTCATAAAACAAGTTTTTAGAAAGAGTCCAAAATGCAACTTGTCCTGAAAACTTTGTTTTCTACTGTTGGTGGTGATTTTGATTTTGATTTTTATTTGTTTACGTGTTTTATCTTGTAATTGATAATTGTTAAAATAAAAGCACAGTCAATGAGATTAGTTCAACAATGCAGTCGGCACCACCCAACCTGTTGACAGAATATAAATTAACTGTAAACTAACTATGTTGATCTTGGCCCTCTTTCTCCCTACTCAAAACCAGTTGTCACCAGTTTGAGGGTGAAAATTGATGCTGGACTTAAATTTGATGCTCACATCAGCTCTGTGATCCGGTCCAGTTTCTTTCATCTGAGACGCCTTGCAAAAATCAAGCCTATGCTGTTGAGAGCCCAACCGGAGCGGGTACTCCATGCTTTTGTAATTTCTAGGCTTGATTACTGCAACTCTCTATATGCAGGGTTGTGTCAGTCATCACTGCGTCGCCTACAGGTTGTGCAGAACAGTGCAGCCAGGTTTCTGACTGGGACCAGGAAACGGGACCTCATCAGTCCGGTTCTGGCCTCTCTGCACTGGCTTCCAGTCTGTTATCGTTCACACTTCAAACTCCTCGTCTTTGTTTACAATTTCTTCCCGAGTAATGCTCCCCCCCTATCTAGCCACACTCCTGAACAGACATTCCCCATCACGCGCTCTGCGCTCCTCTGACCAAGGTCTGCTCTCTGTCCCTCGTTCTAGGTGTCGTACTCGCGGGGACCGGACTTTCTCAGTCCTAGCACCGTCACTCTGGAACCAGTTGCCACCCTCAGTTAGGCTGTCCCCATCTCTGCCAGCCTTTAAGAGTTGCCTAAAAACCCACCTCCTCCGCTTGGCGTTCCCTGAACATGTTTGAATTTGGCCCTCTTTTATGTTGATTTTATTTTGCTGTTTTCATTGGTCTCTTTATCCCTTGTTTCACCCATTTGTCTTCTACTTTAATGTTTTACCTTTTTTGCACTATTTGAATTGCTTTTATCATCCATTCAATCATCATGTTCTCACATTTCTCATGTACCACGTTCATCGCCTTGGACTTCCCGACAGGGTCACGGAAGACGCTTTATAAATAAAGCATTGATTGATTGATTAATTGATTGATTGATTTGTTGATTGGTTGATTGATTGATTGATTGATTGATTGATTGATTGATTGATTGATTGATTGATTGATTGATTGATTGGACTTCAATAATTCATTACTGTAACAAATGACTGACTTTACATATTTCCTAGTCTAATATTTTATATTCATTGTTTGACAGATGAAATAAGTAAAAATTGTGGTATTTGATGTATCATTTTTGTAAAATTACATTTAAATTGTGGATATATTTAAAAAATGTATTAATTTCTCAAATTTCAGGAATAAATCAAAGTGACTGAAATGATTGAATTGTAATCTGACACTTGGTATAGGTTTAACTGCATATGCATGTTGGTTGGGGTGGTTAAATGATTTAAGACATGAAGAAATTTTCTGCTAGCTGGCACAACACTGAAATAGTAAAATAGAATTTTACTTTGTGTGAATCAGAATTTCTTTCCTTCAAAATAAATGTCACATTAAACCATTAAATCTTTCTAAAATCACATTAAACTATTCTAAAATCCTGTAATATTCTAGCCTGGCAAGCCAGACTAAATAAATGTATTATTTAGTCTGGCCACGCTCCATTGACGGCTCTCAGTTGTGGGGCGGGTTCTACCGTTGTCTTTCAAATCATCTCCGCATTCCACTGGACAATGAATGTGACATACTCTTGTTTCACTCTGTTGCATCATCCCACCCACCAGGCATATAGAGTGCCCTGATTGGCCCACAAAGCAGATAAAGCTCTGTGATTTGTTCACTAAGCAGATAGAGCACTATGATTTGCCCACCATTATGGACCAATCACAGCTCATTATGTGTTTGAAACCCCTCTAGAGAGCTGTGATTGGCTAGCTAGAGTCCTGGTAGGAGCTGCGGCGGTTCCAATGGAGCATGCCTAGACCATTCTTTGCAAAGCAAGAATTTGGTCTAGTTCACTAGGCTATTAATATTATGTAATCATAGAATAATCAGGATTCTATTCCTATAAAGCTGTATAGACTGTGTACAAGTTATGACATCACTGTGCCAGATTTGGGCCACACTCACTGAAGTTCTCCTCCTGACCTCTAGGTGTCACAACAGATGTAATTATACCACTATTGAGCAGAAATGGTACAAGACAATGTTGTGCAACACAGACATCATATATGCAGAAGCCTCGTGAACTGGAACTGCCTATTGGAGCTGCCGTAGTGGCTGTCCGCCATCTTGGATGCCTCCATTCATTCCAGTGTATTTCTTTCCTCTAAGGAGTTTACCAAACTAAAAACACATTTTATTATACATCTTCCCAAAAATCAGACATAGTATGGCACAATAGTTAAAATATAAATATAATTACATAAAAATAAATGAAAATATAAAATCTTAACAAGTAGGCTAGAAATGTTCCAGAAAAGTCCCATGTGATCTGTCTTCAGTAGTGTGCCAGTTGTTGCAACCATAGGCTGCACAAAAAACGGGCGCAGTTGCTCACTCTGCATTGACTCCAGTTTGGTTTGGAGAGGGAAGGACCCATCCAATATGGTGGCAATGCTGTTACACACTCCCGCGTCCAATGGGGTGTCTACATACTCATGCTATTGTTATGCAGGAAGTACTTTCTCTGCACATCAGTGTAAATTCACAACCTCAAGTCATCTGCTTTACTTTTCTGTTTTATGGTTTTCTAACATTTGAATAAATTTACCTTATTGCATTTTCTTTATTTTTTTACACCTCCTGCAGAAACAAACCAGCTGTCAGACTTTTCCTTGCTGCTCCGACTGTTTTACCATGAGCTGGTCAGAGCATGATGGTGTTCAAAAATCAGAATGTGCACATGAAGCACGTGACACACAAGCATAACTGGCACAGTAGTGTCAGTTTTAGGCCACGCCCACATTTACAACACCAGGCTTAAGCTGCATTACTACAACCTGAGTTAACTTAGACTTCAGCATCCACATTTGTAGCATGTGGTGTTTGGTTTCATAGAGTGCTGATCAGTTTTAGTTAGACTGCAACAAAATAATCTGTCATTGTGTGAAAGAAGTCTTGATCTCAGTGTTTTATTTATCTGGCTTAATAATAATAATAATAATAATAAAATAATAATAATAATAAAAAATAATAATAATAATAATAAATAACATGTTGCTTCTACTACAAAAATATTTATTGTTCCTGATGTTTTTTTTTTTGTAGCTTTCATGTAAAAAATTGACAACATGGCCCAAAGCTGCAGCGTGGTTTCAGCTGGACGCACCATCACTAACCCTAACCCTAACCTTCAATGGAAGTCACAGACAAGTAGTCTTTAGCCAGCTCAGAACAGAGGCTTGTGTAGTTACTTCCTGTACAAATGCATTTAGATCTCATGTGTCTTTATCAAGTTTGTAATATTTGCTTCCCAGCTGCATCTTTTTTAGCTTGTTTCTGTCACGTCAGCCCGCATCAGCCACTCCCTGACATTATAATGTAAAAAAAGCCACCAGCTCTGTCTGCCCAGTTGGCTTTTTGATGTATCCTGTAAAGTATCTCCCTTCTTCCTCCCCCTGACCAGTGCTGCCATTTGTTCTCCTGATAAAACTGTCATCGCTGAAGCTGATATCTGACCTCCGCAGTGACTGCTGGCATAAATTAGCCTTGTCCTAATAATGCAATTTCTTTCGCTTCATTCAGAATCAAGGTTTTTGACATTTCTCTTAGAATAATAGGTTGTTGTAAACACAGGCTCTTTTTAAATCAAACCATACAGCGATAAAAATGTCAAAGCCAATATATTATATATATATATATTAATTTTTTTGCATAGCTGGCTTTTCCACGTGAAGTCTAGTGTGTTATCAGTGTCAAAATTGGCATCCATATCAATACTTGGAGGATTGTAGTTGTCTACCTGTGACACTCCACGCATTGGTGGAGCTCTGCTGGAGTATTGTATCAGCTTTCATTGTACGCTGGTTAAGCGAGACTTCCCACTGCACAAGACTCGTGAGCGAAGGAGACACGGGGACTGTCAGCATGTCACATGACAGATCTTCCGTCTGATGTGTTGAAGAACAATCCGTCCGAGCTCAATCTCACTCATTACTTTGTGTTCGGGGAAAGTTGCAAAAAGAAGCGGTGATCAAGCGGAAGAGATGCATAGCGGTGCCAGGGATGATTGAGTGATCAGGTGAGATTAGATGGGTGCAGACTTTTTTTTAGTGATTTGCCACCAAATTCAGAGAGATCCTGCCTTCAGCGGCTGACACTGAGCTTAAAGGAGGATAATGATGGGTGAGGAAGCAGCTCCCACAAAGCAGCGCGGCTGGCACATTCAGGAAGGTGTGGAGATGTTGTCACAGGGGAGGCTGGATGTGTGTCAAAACAAGAGCTCCCAGCTTTCTGGATTGCAGCTCTGGCTCTTCACTCACTGATATTCTCATTCTCCTCTCACCTCTACTCGGTACTGCTTGTCTGTCCCCACCGCCTCTCCCACGTTCTCGTTTTCGTCTTCTTATTTTTTTAAGCAGACAACTCTTTCCTGTATTTCTTCACAGAGCAACAAAAACACACACCGCACAAAGCAAATCAGTATAAATTGTAGTTCATGTCATCAAAGCAATCCTTTGTGTTTGGGTTTGCTTTGCTGCACTAATTCGATTTTAACCTGGGCACACTTCATGGGAACATAATACTTTTCATCCGCGCTGTAATTGCATAAATATTTCAGGCCTTGTTCCCAGTTTTACTATAATTTGATGAGGAACTTCGCCATAATTGAATATTCAAATTAGGACTATGTGTCAGTATGGCTCTCCTTGCCTGGAATGAGGATTAATTGTTTTCAAAACTCCAGCGGCCGACATAATGTGGGCCCCAACACTGCTGTTGATTAGCAAACACACTTGCCATGTTTTTGTTTTAAGAATTAGGTGTCTAATTGAGTTGCCATATGTTACCCTCTCCAATGCACCTAAAATTGTATTTAGAAATCAGCTATTTGAATTGAGACAGGCATTTTTTTGTTTTTTCAAACAGATGGGGAACGTCACCCAGGAGGTTGCTCGAAGAAAAGCTTTTCACAAGCAAATTTTTTGTGTCTTGCACCCAATGTTCATGATTTTAAGTGTCAATTACACATATGCAGATAAATAATCAGATTGAAGCTGTTCTCTTGCGGCTTTCTCTGTTTATTTTGATATTAACCATAGAAAGATGCAGCTCTACTTTATCTGCCCATGAGATGTCTTTGTGTATTTGAAAGATGTGTACTTTTTCCTCCCTCCTCAGCTGTGGAATCAACCTTTGCGAGGTAAAAAGAAGTTGGCGTTCAATGTGGCAGTTGTTCCCGCAAGATTGATGCCAACCTTTTAAAAATTCACCATTGGCCTGGCTTTAACATGGCCAAATGCTGATGTAAATGAGGTGCAGAAAAGTCGACCCTTTCGTTGCGAATATATCTGAGTTGCAGGCTTCATCTCATAAATACCACAGCCTGTCAAAATTCCTGTTTTATTGCTGTTGATGGAAATGATTGCGTTTATTTATCTCAAGCCGAAGAGATAAAGCGGTAAAAGTCACGACTCGTGTGTAACACCTCCGCAAAATGCAGATTTCACTTTAGGTTTGCATTTTGGGAGATGCTTTTATTCCTCTGTTTCAAACAAAGGATCTTTAAATCATAAATACACAAAATGCAAAACATAACTCACAAATAGCCGTTATTATTTTCACTTACTAAATGTGCTATTATTCATCAGCGTTCCTGTTCCTGACAATCAACTTGATGTCAGTTTGTCCTCTTGAAGCAAGATGACAAACACCTTTGTAATGCCGCTTCCAACTGCTTTGCATTACAATTATACCGTCATTTAGTTTATCGCACATTCCTGGAAATCATTTTGCCGCCAGAGCATGTCAGGGTAGGCAGCTCTCTCTCGGAGCTGTGAATTCCTTCCCTGCTTGCTGCGGATTTATCGATCCGCTGGGGTGAGTCACAGGGTGTAATTCATGATAGCTTGATTGATGAGGATTTCAATCTTATATGGTTTGTTAACTTCAACTACCCACAAAGTGCATTCTGTGCTGTTTTCTGTATTACAAGGCCATGAAGGGAGGGGGAAAAGAAAAAACATGGAGAGAAAAACTTGTCTTTCCTTGAATAATGGAATCTCTCAGTTCCTCAAGAATTAACAAGATCCTGCTTCGAACCCCGTTAAAGGTCTGTTCAGGCCGCTGGGCAGCCCAGGCTCTGCTGAACTTTACCACGTTTCCCCCTCTGGAGTTTGTTGTTTCAAGGCTGTTTTGATTTCAGACACTTCACAAAGTCTTTAGACGGAAATCAAGTGCTTTTGATTTTCACATAATAAAATCCAGAGCTTCCTTGCTTGTGTCAAAAGGCAGTTTTGTTGTATTTTATAAAATTATATTATTTCTTTTCATTTGCTTATTAGTTGCTGCGAATTTCAAAAGCACAGTTTCCTTTTGTCTTCCAGCAGGATCGACGTCAGCAGACCACAGTATGTGCAACAGGACAGCAGGAGCTACACTCTGACAGGTAGAAGAGATTTTATTTAACATCTTAAGTTTGTTTCGTTTAAGGGTGCATTAAGTTATGACAGTAAATGTCACAAAGTGATAGGTTTTAGGAGAAAAGGTGGAAAATCTTTGTTTACATAAAAAAAGTATTTGAGCTACAAATGTTCCACATGTAGCTCCTATAGATAATATAGTCCATGGAAGGATCTCGGCTTTAACATCCGTTATCTACTTTAAAATTCCTCATTCATCAGTTTTGAAGGTTCTACTGATCTTGATGCTTGATTTTGAAATTTTCATTAATATTTTATTGGTGTTACCTTTATGTTCCAGTGTTTTTGTTGACCCCACCTCAGTCTTAGCACCCTCTTTCTATTCTGTCACCCCAAAAAAGAGAACATTTAAAGATCATTTATGCATTCATTTAACTGACTAAAAATGAAAAAGTAAAACTTGTAAGAACACAGAGCTTCACTCTGAGAGCTTGGTGCCACAGGAAGAGCCAGCTGAGACTGTGGGCTTCAGTAGTGTGTGCGTGTGAGTCACACAAGGTGAACGAGGCAGTTTTATCCAGCTGGAGAGAGACACCATGTGGTGAGGATCCTTCCTGCTGCTGCAGCCGCAGCAGAGGCACACCCAGCCTATTTAATACAACACAATGAAATAAACAATAGTAACCTTTTAAAAATAAACGTTTTTTTTCGACGCCCCTAACATAAAAAATAAGTATTGGTTTCTGATTGCTGCTTGGCTCTGCTAATATTCCAACATTGTGCTTGTGTGATGATGGTTTTGTAAGTTACTCACAGCACATAGAGGAGGCAGAAGACATTATCACACAGCTGAACAGTTTGTGGCATTTGGTGTGGGATCTGTCCACTGAGACTGGGTTTGAGTGACAATGAAGAGCATGCACACACTCCAGCGTGCGCTGCCAGTAGTCATCATCTATCTGCAGGAAACTGTCCTGCAGGTGCACACAGAAACACACACACACACACACACACACACACACACACACACACACACACACACACACACACACACACTCCTTCTATCCCCCTCATGATCTGAATTTAAGGAAAAAGCAGGATAATGTTGTTTGACTTAAATATTTTCTGGTTTGATTGCTTGAGACTGTGTTCCCCAGCCCTACAGCATCACACACAACTTCCTTTCATTAACAATGTGATAGCCTGCAGACCAAGTGTGAGGTCGTAGCCGGCAGCCTATTTGTGTGAATTGTTTGCATGATGTTGTGCGTACATGTGTGTGTGTGTGTGTGTTCGTGCGTGCGTGTGTGCGTGTACGTATGTGTGCGTGTTTGTCTGTCGATGCCTGTGCATGCACAAGTGTGTGTGGGCTGACAGCTGGCCAGGTTTGAGTTGGTCTAAAACCATGTGCGCTCTGTCAGGGCTGTACAGGCACCTTCTTTAGGATTGATGAATTGCCTGCTTTCTTGATTAAACCCTCTGTCACTTCCCAAGAAAACAAAAAACACATACAATTAAAAAAGGAGGAGGAGGAGGAGGAGGAGGAGGAGGAGGAGGAGGAGAAGGAGGAGGAGGAGGAGAAGGAGGAGAAGAAGAAGAAGAAGAAGAAGAAGAAGAAGAAGAAGAAGAAGAAGAAGAAGAGTCGATGGGTGGAGAGGTAACATGTCTGTGAAATCTGTCATCTGCAGTCACATCATGTACAGATGTGATGTGCAGAAGCTTTGACATTTATTACCAGAATATTAAAAACTAATTCACATTTATTTTGAAGCCCTCCATCACTTGACAGTTCAGGCTTGTTTGAAAAGTTATCAAGTTTTCAAAGCAGCTCCGAACCTCTTGCTTCTCTTCAGCTGCAACGCTTTGATCCACGCCAAGTCACTTTGCCAATTACCTCTATTATTCCTGCATTGACAGCACGTCTTTGTGTTGTGAAGGTAATTATATGTGCAGTAAATAAACTCTTAAAAGCATATGTCTGATAAAAAATCTAAAACTACCAAATGAAACTAAGTTATGCATCCCAGTCTCTAGTTATTACCAACCAGAACAGGATATAATACCCAGCAGACATCCACCTGATAAAAAGGTAAATCTAATAAAAAGTAATACATTTGCATATCTATAGCATTAATCAAAAATAAATACTGACATTGGCCCTGATCTAACATAATATGGAGAGCAATTATTTCCCTATCCATTAGATGAGCTTCAATTAACGGGCAGCTAGACAGTTCATCCCTCAAAGGAGAAAAAATATAGGAGCCTCAAAATTAACTTGGGTTTGCAAAATATCTTGGCAGGATGACAGTGATTTTTGATTTTCAGGAAACAATATTAGAATTCTTATTAAACTATGTGCATCTGCTTTTAATTTGCTACAAATAATTGGAAAATGCAATGGAGCTTTCCAATTAAAGCCCCACTTTATACTGTTTAATAATACCCTCATAATATTATAGCTTATGAAATGACAGGTGAGTTGGTGTATGAATAAAACATAAAGCCCTGTAATAAGAGACAGAAAAAAGAGAAGAAGAAGAAGAAAAAGCGAGACAGTTGTTGGGGGGCTTTTAAATGCTCGACATAATTTGCATATATTAATCTCCTCTTTTCAGCCTTATCAAGAATTCCACTGTATTTGAAGTTAAAATAGTCGTGACAGGCAGGGGTACGCCTCGTTTTTCCAAGGATTTATTACTTGTATAATTCTGGATCTTTAATAAGCCAATATGACTGATCCTCTGAGTTCTGTGGAATTTGGTTAATTGTTCCAGATGGTGCTCGCTGATTATGCAAAATTACTTTCTTTTCTCCTCTTCCCCCAACTACACCATTTCGTGATTGACTAACACGAAGAAAAAAGATTATTTTTGGCGCGGCACTTTCATTAAGAGGCTTCTCATCAGGTTTCAAACAAAAGTTCCATCTTATCTCTCCGTGTAGTTCTAGGCAAGGCTGTGGAGTGGGAGGAGATCAGCCCGCACTTATCTCCAGCCATGATGAATCTCAGCCGCTTCTCCGCTGCTGTGGTGATATTTTAGAATAACACAATTCTTTAGGCTGAGGGATTAAAAAACACAACCTCTGGATAGTGACACAAAAGTTATTATTAGTGTACGTCATCCTCTTCTCACTCCTTTCTCCTCACTTTGCCTGTTAGAGATTGATGAAACCACTACGCAGCTTGCTCTGGTCTACGTTTGCAGCTGCAGCTTTGTCCACAACTCACTAACATTCTGTTTTGCATCAGCTAAACTGAGCTGAATGAATCATTGATGGAAGTGTTATGTGGGAGGCACGGGCAGATTTACTGCCGCGCTTTTACTCTAGATGAAATGGGATTTCTATGAAACCCATCTTGATGTTTGAAGTAATGCCAAAGCTTACATCAAGACATGAAAGGAATGCTCTTAAAACCCACGTTTTGCTTCTTAATTTCCCTGGTCAGCAAAAGGCAAAACGGGGTGGGGGGTCGTAGAAAGAGAATAGAATTTACAGCTAATGCACACACACACACACACACACACACAACCACACACACTCTCTCTCTCTCTCTCTGAAAGAACTCTCAGCAACAAATGATAAAAAGAAGCGCTAAACTTAATTAAAATAAATCTGTGGCTAATAGATGCCTCAGTGTTTAGATTTGCTCTAATTCTGTTATTTTTTTTTCTGTTTAGACGTTGCAGACAGCTCAGGTGTTAGAAGGATGAATGGATCTGAACACATTAGTAAATCATCAACCCTAAAACAATATGGTGAATTAACACAGAGTCATTCCTAAAGTGGAAATGTTACAAACACACATCCAGCTGTCACTGAGGGATAACGTGTTCACTGTCAGTTGTAAAGATTGGGACTTTGTGTGATGACAACATATTTTTTAACATAACTTCTCAACACAACGATTATTGGAGCTAAAATCTTACACAGACAAAAATACATAGGTTGAATTTCAAAGATGTTTTTGTACATTTTATAGAAAATCACAAACTGTGAATGACAAAATGTTTTGAATAAACTGACAGACTGAATTTAAAACATGCACTTGCAATGTTTGTCTTTCCTGCACAGACAGACATGTCTGGAGTTCTGAATGAAATCAAATTACTTCATATTATAATGCTTATGTTTCATTGTGAACAGACAAAGCCAATAAAGTCTTTACTTGTACGTTATGTGGATGTTAACAATGATATGATATTTATTATTATGCATACATGTGTGTTAAGGGTCCTTTTTAACCCATATCTTATATTATTGACCCTTAATTTCCGATGCTGATATAATCTGTGCCCCCTCTCATTAAGAAAAACTAAAGCACTTTAGGTTGCTAACATCCCATGGCTTCTATCATGACTGTTTACATTTTTAACATTTTCTTTGTAAAATGGCAATTATTCAGTTTAAGGTAGTAAAAGGAAACGTGCCATGTTCATTTAGTCTCCAGCAGCAGCTGAATCTCACCATCTCCAAGTGTGACGCTAAGATGTGTGTACTAGTCAGCAATGTAGTTTTTACTTTGCAGTTAGGGTGATTAAACATTTATCAAGACCTTCAGATAAGAAAAGCAAGTGGATATTCTTGTGTTTGTTCTAGTCGTGTGTTAGCTGTGTAGCTACATGTAGCTACGTGCTGTAGGACAGCTTACATTCACACAGGCCCAATTTCTATTTCTCAAGTTGTGCCAAAACAAATGAAATATCTCACTAACTTTTTTTTCAGATGTGTAATAATTTGACATTTTGTGAGAGAGTGGAAGTAGCTGAAGTGTCTGATGTATAATATGTGTATTGTATGTGAAAGCCAGAAAACCGATACCGGTATTTTGCGATATTAGATTTTGATGCCGATGAGCAGAGCCAGGCTTTGATTTGAAAAACAACTTAATGTAGATCCAAAGAGTTTCATTTATTTCAAATGTCAGAATTGCAGTTGAACCATCTAGGTTTGAGGGGAAAACATGATCAATTCCAGCTTGATGTGCTATTATGTTTTTGAGGATCAATCCTGCATGAATCCT